AGTTCTATTCACTCTAATACTTAAACTAATAGCTCACTATTGGAACTGGAGAAATAAAGCCCCAAATATGTTTTTTTGAATTATAATATAATATATTATAGTATTATTTTTTGAGGAGGCTTTGAGTGATTTTGAAGGGGCTAAGCCCCCCAACTATTTGCTCTAATGGTCTTACGTTCGTGTAAAGGTACATAAGATTACATAATATTGATGATAAGCCATAAGCATTAAGCATATAAGAATATCATAACTAAACTTTCAAATTGTTCAATACATTCAATACTTAAATAGTTGAATATATTACAATTTTTAAGAGCATACTAATTGTTTTCTGTATATTTAAATAACTTATAATTTTAGATTCTGAGTGGAACGATGAATGTATTGATTTTACAATGATTTGTGTTTTTTTTAATTTATTTTTTATTTTTGTCCCTGTGTACACGATAAGTAGTCGAGATTATGCTTCGATTATCAACTTCAGCGCCAAGAAAAACAAAAGAAAATTAAGGAAAAACGGGAATTTTTACGCAATATCGATTTTTCATAAAATTGACTTTGGTTTTTGGTGTAACTTTAAAAAAAATGACCGTAGTTACATACAATTTTCACTGGTTGTTTATATTTCCATTTTATATACTTGATAAAATTTTCAAAATATTTTGACTTGTTTTGAGCTGTTTACGGACAATTTCATATTTCAATTTTTTATCTTTTTTTCTATGAATATCAATTAAGTTTTATCTGTTGGGCCAAAAAAGTGTACAAATTTAATACGAGGCTCCTGATATATTGTTACAATAGCATAGCAGATGAAAAATATTAAAAATACATGGGTTCAATTTTTTTTATAAGCATTTAAAGATCGAGTTTTGACCAAATGTATCAATTAAAAAATTGAATAATTATTTTGTAGTTAAAATTGTATAAAATGTTGAATTTTTATATCCAAGGATTGAAAATCTAAAACAAGATTCTATGTAAGTAGTTTATTCTGTTACCAAAAAATCTAAAAATACATAAGCACAGTTTATTTTTATAGTCATTTTAAGTTCAAATTTGGACGAAATTATATATTAAAAACCTAGAATAACTAGGTATTTTAGTTATTTTGTTGTGATTGTATAATATTATTAATAAATTAATTATTGGGTAATAATTACGATAATAATCGGGTAATTGAAACTTCTAAAGTATTTACTATTATATATCTATTATGGTATCACGGTTTGTTGTAGATGTATAATAAGTTATAAGTACCTAATGGCTATTGTGATATGATTTATTTGGAATTTATTATAGGTAAATTTTTTTTTTAATACCATAGATAAGTATATAATATGTCTTATTCCTAGACTGACATACCGTCTCCGCTCAGAATCGTTTTTCTTATACAATGATATATCATTGAGTTCAAATTTAATACCATACATTATACAGTGACCCCCTTGTAACCTACTGTACAGCAGAGCACCTTTTTTAATTTATAGATTCTATAAATTATTTTAATATAAATATTACCTATATAATATATAAATATTATTTGAAAATGTATAGCTTATATGATTTTATATTAATTATATACGTTTATATAGTTATGTCCAGGCATGTACACAGAAAAAAAATCGGGGGGGGGGGGGGGAGCCGTTATGTATGAGCTATCCACACATAAAATAAACACATTACTTAATATATAGATTATAGATTAATTATCAATACATCCATTGGTTAAATATAATATTATAGTAGGCATGTTATATTTTATATAAGTAACGGTTCTTAAGTTTACTAAAATAAGTTTAAGTATACTGTTATAGCTAAAATATTATTTGTATTACTTTAAACAATTTTATGTTGATCAGTCTCTTAAGCGTGATCTTTGCAGAAAACATCGTGATCGTTTTTGAATAAGAATTTTTGTGCTAAAAATATATAAAAATCGTCTTGCAGTTTGACAGTTTGAACAGTAACGAATCGATTCGGATGATGTACGATTGTGGATACACCGCACCGGTGAACGAACGCCCAAACGTCCGTCAAAGTGTCAAACAAACTTTCCGCCGTCCGCGCGTTTACTATTTTTTCAATTCAGGTACTATAATACAGTAGTAACACTGCGAACAAACTGGTCGGCAACAATAATAGTGCGTCATGCGTATATTGGGTATTGACACCTGTAACCTGCTCTGGTTTATCTACGTGCTACGTGACCGACGCTTCCGTGGGTAACGAACCCCGCTCACCTGCCTCAAAGTCCCATGCGCAGTCCCGCACAGGCGCACGGCCGTTTGAGCCATATATTATAATATTATTATGTTTTCTATGGCAAAATATTATGGCAATGGCACGGCCGCACGGGTCAACTACACTCAACCGTCGACGACGGCGCAGCCATGTTGCGAGCATCGAAGACGGGAGTAGTGCCGCCGACAACACTTGGTTGGCGGCAGTGCGCGGTGCCGGTAGCCGGTGCTTGGTTACTGCTACTGGTTAGTGTAGAAAAGAGATAGGTTCACTTAACAGCAGGGTGTAGGCGACGCACGCGTGTTTACTGTTTATGTTACATACCGCGGATCGCGGTAGACATGTATATAACACCCGTCCGGCGTTAACCACAGTGCCACCGACGCGCGGGACGGCGTGTTTCGGGCTGCCGGTATTGGGCGCACTGACGTCGGACTGACGCCATCGAAGAGTCGGGTTTGTGTTGATTCGTTTGTTGTTGTGTTTGGCGAAGTGGTTCCAATTTACAACATTAGTTGTTACTTATTATATTTTCTCGGTGCAAGTGAGTTTGCGGGCTTGTCGATTTTTCTTCACACCCTACTGACTGAGCACTACTGCAATAATAATAACATCACCTTATTCGGCAGCCCCGGTGTGCTCAATTGCCCCGCGTATTCGTCTCTGCCGCGCGCGCTGTGCCCTTACTCGTTGGCCGTTGCTCTCCGTGCGTTTGACCCGTTGTCGGAGATCGGTCGGATTTCAGTCATCGGTCGTGGCTGTTATGGGCGGAACGCCAAAGAATATTCTTCACTTGTTTCAAAGAGTGCCGAACAACGTTGCCCGCTGCTAGACCGTGGAATACGCCAAGGTAAATACCCCTCAATAAGCCCGCCATCATTTGTCGTTCTTGCACGGTATGGTCGTGCTTCTACCGTCGGGGCCTGTTCGCCAGGCCGAATTGACGGTATTCCGTCTACCGTGTACGTCGTTATTGGTGACCCTTAAACGTGCTAGGCCTTTCTCCTTGCCCTCCCGATTTCAAGTGACGGAAGAAACCACTCGTAAATCCTTAGCACAATGTGTATACCAAACATGGTCCACAAACAATCCACCTTCACGAACAGTTGCCTGTGTGGGTCCAAGATTTTAGGTCTTTCGTTGGTACCACAATCTCAGTGAATGGCTTTGTAGTATGTATACTACCTGCTAGATTTTATTTTCCAATGTTGAGATTTTATCTAGTTTTTTTTTTTTGAATAATGGTTTAGAACTTGATACAAAATTCATGTAATATTCCATTAATTGTTATAAGTGCACTTGAATATCTGTACCCCGGAGGTAAACGAAACTATGTCACAAAATAGTAATTTTTCTGGAGATAGAGATGGTGTTCTTTACCTCTAAAAAAGGGGACATGGTTTTATTTTCCATAGTCTTATTTCATGGTGCCGTATACCTTTACATAGATCGAAAAATGTACAACAAGGACATAGAGCTAACTCAATTTCGAAAAAATGAACATGGTGTCCTTTATCGCCGGGGTACAGAGATGTTATTTTACTTTCATTATGTTGAGAAAGATTGATGTCTTAAAAATATGAGGAGATATATTTGACAAGACATAATATATACTATAGGAAATTATAAATCCATTAACAGACTAAATGTCTTATATAATATGTATTACAGTCTACATTCACTTATGATAGGCTTTAATGATTATTGAAATGTTGATGAACATTGCTAATTAGCATAATTTATAACAAGGTACCCTTAATGAAAATAATTTTTTTTTTAAAAATGTAACATTTAAAGCATTAATAACATTTTCTGATGTTATTGAAATACCTCTTTTATTTTTTAAGGAAATAAATATCATGATTATAATATGTAAGTATGGTATACAAATCTATGTCTATCACATACATTTTTATTATTTATTATAGTTAAAAGAATCTCAATAGTATTATTTTATTAACTATTTACTAACAGTAAAGATAAGATAAATTCATATGAATTACACAAAAATAAAATTCCACTGTAGAAATTATAATCAAGTAATGTTTATTAGTCCTACTCTATCATGTCTTAATTTTTTGATGTAGATATCATTTTATTTACAGACATTTTAATAACTTAAGGTACCTATCTACATTATAAATTATGTATGTTACTAAATATCAATGAATAATGTTGGATAAATTAAATTAATAAGCATTTAATAAATTGTATAAACTAAAATTGTTATCAAAATATTATTTTTAATTGAACAATTATGTTCATTAGAGGTTCCACTTAAAGGTACTTGTTGCTATATGTATAAAAAAAATTGTATTAGTGTAAAGTGTAGTTATTAAAAAAACATTGAGGAATTTTTACTAAATGTTACATGACAGTTAAAAACAAATTATTATCCTTAATAACAAAATATAATGCTTTCTGATACATCTAATAGAATGTTTATAAACATGATTTTAGGTATACTTATGCCTCAAAATACTTTCTCCCAATTAATAATATATTGAAGTAACTATCTAGGCTTCTTTGTTATTGTTAAATTAATTGTAATATGTAAGTAGCATAGGCGAGAGCATAGATATTATTAATTTATCTTTATTTTTAATGTTGATGGTAAAGATAATGTAATTTAAATAACTATCCTTCTCCACCAAATCAATCTACAATAATATTTGTTCTGGTAAAAAAAAATTACCAAATGACACAGTTTTATTTGTATTCTTTATTATTTTCAGATTGAATTTAACTGCTTAAACATGAATAGTATTGGAGCAATGAACTCTCCAGTGAAGCAACCTTTGCCAACAGTATTGGCTCCTCCTACTATTTCAAATTCTTCACCTTCCAAAGTACAACAACCACCGAATTTAACTCCACTTAATTTAAATACTTCTCAATCAGCTCAACCTTTGAGTCTTGTTAATGAACATAAAAATATTCCAATTGTTATCCCTTCGCCTATTATGACTTCTGTTGAAAATATTGTTCCAAAATCTACCTCTTGTAATGGTATACCTGATACAAAAGCAATCGGTGAGAAAATTGAAGAGGCCCTGCCTAAAATTGAATCACAATTACTACACAATCAGGTAAATAATTCTGTCAATGTTAAAAGCGCAAATGAATCTCCTCTTTCTGAAGTGAAACCTCAAATATCAGAGGTTGAAAATCTTTCTCAAAAAAAAGATGATAAGAATAACTTGCCAATTGTTCAAACCGATAAAGTAGTTTTGCCAGAAGTTAATTTAACAACTATAAGTGATCCTATTAAGCCTGAAGAATTACGTAAAACTGAAAATTTAGTTTCCAAACCAAAAGAACATGATTCAAAGTAGTAAGAATCCCCTGAAATTAAGACTATAGCAGAAACAAACCAAGGACCAGCTGTTTCTTCTGAAAAGTCTGAACAAGCACTTGTAAACACTTCAAAAGTTAGTGTACGACGAAAAAGAGAACATAAAGTAAGTTTTTAATATTAAATAGTCTTAAAATAGTAAAGATGAAATTTACCAGAATTTCTTAACTATTAACTACAATGAAAAATGAAGAAACATTGTAAATTTTGATAATATTGGTTGAAAATTGTCATATCATTAGCTTCATTGGATATACATATTATTGTTTTCTTGTATATACAAAGATTTTTGTAGCATTACTAATTAAATATTAACTAAAAATCTATTAAATAATTATCCATCTTAAAAATAATATCTTACTGATTTTTTTTTTAAACTAATTTTAAGCAACTAGAAGAAGAAGACGATAAGAAGGAAAAGTCATTGAAAAAGGATACACCTGTAGAAGAAATAAAATCAAAGCGTACTAGACTTCCTACACAACCTTTCCAATTATCATTGTTGCCAGAAATGCATCATATTTCTAAAATTTCTGAAAAACCCGTATCTTCAAAAATCAATAGTGACAAATTAACAGTGTTTTACAAGTAATATATCAGAGCCATTGATACATTTTTATAGATCGTGTGATTTAATATATTATTCAAAAATATTAATTTATCTTCAGGAATGAATTTTTGGCTGTACGAAATGAAGACGGAGGATTTTACTTATGTCAAGCTATGCAAAATATTCATAGAGCTAGCCGCCGCATTCGTATTCGATGGCTAACTCAACATCCAAATGATGAGTTTACGCCAGATTTTTATGACCATACAGGTAACACAAACATTTTGAATTACTATTTTATTTGGGTATTTTTTATAGATTTTTTTTCCTAAAAGACATTCTATACGTTAAATACATGTAATTCTCCTTTTCATTACATATACTACATACAGAACCTCTTTACAAATTATAACAGACTCCCCATAAGACAGAAATCTTCTTTTAGTGGAAAATCACAGTAGTCTTGTAATTTTTGTCTTCCTATAACTTAAAAATCAGTTGGTACCGAGGGATTCCGTTATAAGGAGGTTTTATTGTATATCAGATAGATCAGTCTTTCTCAAAGTAGAAGATAGCGCCCTCCCTATGGGCCGGGATAAGACCCAAAGAAATTGTGTGCGTTGGAGCAGACTAAAGTGCCTATGATGATTAAAAAAAGCTATAAGTTTGTTCTTCTTTTACTTAAAATTAAATTTAAATATTTACTACATCATGTCTACATAATTCCACTTACATCTATTTTTAAGTAAATTCGAGCCTGAACTTGTTAAAAAGCATCAGGTTTATCCTTCACATAAGATACTTTTTATATTTAATTTTAATTTTTTAATAAAAGTACTTTAAAATATGATTCAGATTAGTGATTGATATTTCAACTTTAATAAATATAATTTTAAATATGATCAAGTATGCGTTTAAATTGTATATTTGTATTGTTGTATTGTTCTCGTTATACATTTAATTTGAACTCAGATATAAAATATGGCTTATTAAATATAATAATTACAATAACTACTGTTTTTATGATATACTACCGAGTACAGAGGGTAAGTTTAAAAAAATTTAGGGGCTCCAGAAAGTTATTGATTCTCAAAGTGGGCGGTGGTTTAAATAATTTTGAGAACCTGTGAGATAGGTAAATAAAAGCTCACAATTTAAAAAGAAGTCATTCATGTTAACTGGGTAAGTTAGGTTAGGTACCTATTAGTTGGTGTCTTATAGAATTGTTAATCGACATTGGATTTTAAAGCAAAATGTATTTTAATTATTAATGATTTACTCACTAAAATCAAATAAATAATTATTTAATTCTTACAGAGTTTGATTGTATTTTGACAAATATAACATTAAAAAAAATTCAGAAAGAACAATGGAAACTACCTGAAAAAGAAAAGCTAAGAATTGAAAATATTTTGAAACGATCTATTGATGTTGAAAAAGGATCAGAAAAACCTTCAGTAACTGAAGAACATCCAGATGGGTGTATGTATTATTTTTGTAATTAAAACATTGGGTTCTGGTTTGTTATATCCCCGCCACTCAGGCACCTTCCATAATAATAACAATATATCTATAAACAAATGTGTGTATAAAATGATTTATATTAATATAAACTAGATAATTTGTATAACTATAACCGTACAAACAAAATTAAGATGGAGACTATAGACTATTACGCATTAGGAGGTACCTTTAGTAATAGTATGTTTTTTTTTGTAGTATTATTAAATTATTAGGTTATACACACTTTAGGCAGGGATTTAACAAACCAGTATCAAACATTATATTTAATTATTATTAATGCTAGTTTTTGCTAATTAATTAAGTGCTTTTTTTCAATCACTAATTTAAACTTTGATTATTTTAGTGGACGTAAGTTTGTTCAAAGATGAAGCTCAACTAACAAAGAAAAAAGGTAGCAAAAAAAGCGTAACTGTAAAAAGGAAGGTATCAACTGATGAACAACAACCAGTGAAAAAGTCATCTAGATTGTCTAAGAAAAAACCATCTTATGATTTTGGGCATTCGTCATCTGAGAGTGACGAGAATGATGATGAAGAAGACAATAGTAACCAAAACAAATCATCAAACAAAAAAATTTTGAAAAAGAAAGTTATTGCAAAAGAACCTGCTAAAAAAATAATAGGCAATATGTCAAAACCGAAACCACCATCAGTTAGAAAAACACAAACTCCTGTTAAACCGACTTATGTACTGGCATCTGTTTCATCAGCAGTGAAGAAAAGAGAAATAATTGCTACAAAACAAAAAAAGGAAAACAGTGTTTCAGATAAAAAGTCTTCCAAGAAAGTAGAACCAAAATCTCCAGCTGTTCCACTACCTTCAGAGAGATCATCAAAAACTAGAAGTAAAAATTATTCTTAACATTATATTTATAATCAATCAAACAATCAGATCAATCAATTATTCACAATGGTGAAAATATCTGTATCTTTTTCTCTATTTCAATTATTTTTTTAATACCCATATATTATGTTGTCTCAGTCTTATTAACAGCATAGTAAATATGTGTTCAGCTGACCTAACTTTGTGTTGTCACTATTAATAACAGAGTTAATTCACTTATTATCAAAATTAAATGTAAAGATGTTATTTAGGGCACCTCATACTCTTTTATTTATTAAATATGAGAGCAAATTATACACATTTAATAACTAATATCTTGCATGATTATAACTCACTTTAAAATTAAATTATCAAAAAAGTTCTATAAATAATAAGCTCATGCACTTGATAAAGTTATTACCTAAAAGTTAAATAATCCCTAATATAAAAATCTAACAATACAAAATTGGTTCTGTTAAACTGAAATTTGCTATGTGTGAAAATAATCTTTTGATATTGAACTTTTTATTTTTATAGATGCAGGAAATGCTGTTTCCGCAAAAATAACTACTGCTGGTATTGGAATAGTTAAAAATAACCCCAACGATCGAAAAACATTAAGAAATCGTAAATGATGATAGACATTATAATACACTTTGTAAGTAATATAGTCTACTTGTTTGAACAATATTTAAAAATTCATTTTGTTAATAATATTATCAATTTAACTTAATTCTGATTTCTTGAAAGACTACATTTTTATGTTAAACACGTACCATATCACAAATTTGTTTTGATGTGTTGATTCACATTCTTGTTTAACTTTTATAATTTTATACTTTTTTTGGTTTATTATTTTTTATTAAGTTTTGAATAACTTAGGTAGCTAATAGTATTAAATTTCAAAATAATCCGAAAATATTTATAAGGTAATTCAAAGTTACATAGATACTTTTTGTAATAATAGTACTTAATGATTTTATGAAATATGCATCAATCTTAATAATTTCCCGATGTCAATGCCAACATTTAACATTATTGATCCTTATTAATTGTATTTATATGTAAATCACATTTTTTTTTTTTATTAGCTTCTAGTTTAAACTATGATAGCTCAACAATTACAAAATTGTACAATTAAATCATATTAATAGTACTTTAAGTGTAATCTATTTTAATGTTTTTGTGAGTTATTCCTTATATTTTAGAAATCAATATTTTTTCAACTATACTTAAATGCCTCTTTATTTTAATGAATAATAATGTTTAAAATATAATTGATTCTTATTCTTATCACATTTCTAAATACTGTATTTCCCTTCGCATGTTTTGATTAAATACATTTGTACATGTTCAAATAGTTGTAACTTAGTTTTATAATTATTATTTTTTGGCATTGGCATCTTTCTTTAAACTTTTCTAAACTTAATTTATTCAGTTACAAGACTATATTATTTTCTTATTGATGACTTAATTTAAATTATTTTTTTGGTTTTGATGTATTTCAATAGAATTATCGATGTGCACCAAGTTCTTGTAAATGTATTGACTTTGTATTCCTTACGCACAAAAATATCTAGTTTAAAAATAATTGTTTACTTCCATGAAAACTTATTGTTCCAAATGTTAATTTATTACTTACAGTACAATTCATTTAATATTATAATTAATAATTATACAGACAAATTGTAAGCTCTTTATAATAATGTATTGTACATAATATGATTTAGGATAATATAGCTAATATACATAGATATATATTTATATAAATATACATATTAATGAATAATATTAGATTACAATTTTAAATCTTATATTATTAGTTATGTAAGTTAAAAAAAAAATGATTGTTTTGAGTGACGTGGTTTTGCCATATTTGCAATATCATAATATTTTTTATTAATTTACAAGTGTTAAATTTTATTGTGTCTGTGTGCTGTAAATAACCATGAATCTATTCTGGTATTGATGTCAACCTGCTTTGATATTGTTTGTAAATCTATTGATTTTATTTTTTATTTAATACCAATAGTAGGGGTATGCACATTAGAAAAACATATTTATTTACCAACAACTTTTTAATTATAAAAAATATATATATACAAGGACAAAATTATTATTGTAAATATTATAAATTTGATTAATTATTTTAAGTGAATTTAAAAATATATTCAAACAATTTATTGTACATATTTGTGTTTTAAAATGAATGAGTTTATTTTTTTATCACCAACGAGTTCAAATTGAATTTTGATACCCTAGGTACATTTCTAATAGTTAATGAAATACGTTTATTTCTTGTCAATGGAATTCCATTTTGTATATTTGATCCACAAAATGTTATATTGGATATTTTATCGTCAATGATATCATTGGTAATCTCCTCAATACCGTGCATATATTCGGTATACATTTTATCCTTTAAAATGAGTAAACTTCGTCTTTGCAATAATAAACTGTATACTTTTTCACTTGATACAACTTCAATGTCAGTCTAAAAATTATAAAATATTGTTTAAAAGATAATACATTTTAGTTGGTAAAAAGATTTTATTAAAGATTATTAATTTAATTTAGGATACATTTTACTGCTCTAGAACATAATCTTCTATTTTATAGTTGTAATTTCTTAAATTAATTTATTACACACTTACAATGGTAAAAAATATAATATAAGCTTTTTAGAAAAATGTTTTCTTATAAATACTTAAGATGACTTAAAAGGACTTTGGTAGAAGCTACAAAGCGCCTAAATGGCGCGTGAAGCAAAAAAAAAAAGACATAAAATTGTTTTAAAGTTTTATCAAATGTTTTTTGAAATAACGAGTAACTTTAATAAAAGAATCATCCATGAATTGTGATATTTTGTCCTACTTCATAAAAAAGGGAGATGTTTTGCCTACCCACTAAGATCGTTAAAAACTAAAAGTGTCCGTGAAGATTTTTTATATTTTTCTAACATTAAATCCTACATCGATAATAAGGAAGTAATTATTATCTGAATTATATTTTATCAACTTTGTAAGCAATAGGTAGTTTATAATTTATTAAAAAATATTTTAAGATGTATTATCTTTAGGTAAAGCAGGTATAACTTTTTAATAATTTTATCACAGATGAACAAAACAAAAAAAAATTATAAATTTAATATTAAAATCTAATATTATAGTCTTACCTTAAGTGGCTTATAAAAATTCAGTACAGTATGAGATCCACAGTTAATAGTACTTATAGTAGGGAAAAATAAACTTCCATCTAAATGTGGCTAAAGAACAACATTGGTTACAAACTAATAATGTTTTATGCTTATCATACATTTATACCATGATTCCTTGTCCTGATAAGTATTCATTAATTAACACATGGTTTGGTCTGTTAGTCCTAGGAAATACTTGTAGACTTTCTACTCTATCAACAAATCCTTGTAACCACTACAACATTTACAGTTTAAATTATACTCCATAATTGCAATTAATTAAGTGAAATGTGAATCATACTTACATCAGGAATTGTTTCGGGTATGAGTCCTTTGGCATGAGGTATACCCCCCCAATTTTGAAGTCTTCTATTTTTCAATTGACACCATTTCGGTTTTGGGGCACTATTTACTTTATCCATTATATATGTTTCCTGTTCTTCAGTTATAAAATTTGGTATATAATAAGCTGCATCATCGACCTTAAGACAACAGCAGAAATTAAAATTAGTTGTCCTATATCTAATATAACACTACTATTTAAGTATAATTACTAAAGTCAACTTATTATCCTCCAAATCTATATTGTCCATTTCAAATTTATATAGTAAATATCTATAAAAAGTAATCGAAAAGATCACAAATCACTTAAATCATGACAGAATATTGTCATGCAAGAAGTGATAAATTGAAATTTAATTTTTATATTGAGAGTAGGTATAAAGAATATCCGTAAAGTAGCGTGAGATGTGATTGTGTTGTGTTTGTGTTGATCTGTTTATGATAAGATTTATATCACGAAGATCAAACCATAGAAAATGTATAACTCGTATGACCTCCCTCAGTGGCGCATGAAAAAACGTACAGAAATAAATCTCACGATTAAACGGCCACAGGCTGCGCTGCGTACGCTAGGGTTGCCACTTAACCCCCCCCCCAAACAATGTTTTTTACGTTTTAGAAAATGTAATATGCATTATTTTGAACCATGACCCTCTTTAGAATTTAAAGCTTGTAAAATTATGCGTATATTTATACCTAAATGTCTTTGTTCACAACAAGCTGAACCCAATACAATTTGATACACCACACACGACACACATGTGTTGTCTTGACTCTTGAAGAATCGCGGAAAAAAAGCCCAACTGAAAAATATAGACAATGTTCACGAATTATAATTTTTATATATATTATATTTACTATATTATATTGACTGACGTTTTGATTATTATCTGCTCTCTGCCTCTCTAAATATATTAAATTACCTCCGGTTTTGTAATTTTTGTATACATTTTAGTATAAGGTTTACGTTTTTTGATTTATAAATTATTGTACTATGTATATACCTAAGACTGATGTTTTTTGACTCATAACTTATAACACAATAAATCATGACGTATACATAATATTGTGTTCATATTTATATTTTTATTTGATTTACAATCTATATTTTATACAATGAACAATTAATTATTAATTTCATTATAATATCTAATATATAATTATATTTTGTTATAGGTATATGGTAATTACTAATTAGGTCATTAGGAGTAGAGTATACATGACGTGTTCACATTTCTATTTCTATTTCTGGGCTTTTTTTTAGTTAGTTTTTTTTCCGTGGAATTTTTTCCGCCTACCGTCTTGAACGATCGTTTTATATGGATATGTATCGTTACACTCAAATTTGTTTCTTAAGAATAACATGTTTATGAAACATACACTTATGCACTTGTATAAATGTGTTATCAGACAAGCTATAAAATCTAAAGAGGCTCATGCAGTCATGCTTCAAAATAATGCATATATTTATTCCCAAAAAAAGCAAAAACATGAATAATCCCTATACTAAGCGGGTTTAAGTAGCAACCCTAGCGTAAGCAGCTTGTTTAATAATGCGACTCATTTCGGGACGTTATCTGAAGCACAGAACAATCATTGCTATCACAAATCACTGCACTAGGTGCATAAAACTCGCATAGTGCAGTAACTTAGAACACAAAATTATGAAGTAATTTATTGCACACAGCTAGAATAGCTGGTGGAACGAAAAAAGTGCACCAGCGCAAATGCTAGTGCGACGTAGTGGAATGCGCTATAGATTACCAACCTGTTAATACAACAAGATAACGTGATAGTAATTTTCTTAATTTTTTTTTTTCTAGTTTGAACTTTTGATCTTCACCACTGTAGTAGAAGTGTAGACTGTTCAATGATCTTTACACTTTGAGATGTCCTTTCGAGAAATAATCATAATTTGTTTTTAGTTTCAGCTATTCATTAGCCTGCTGGTCATCTATTACCACATAATATCTTTAATTGTGGCTATTACTATTGTTATTAGCTTGTGTAAAGTGATCAGCGAAAGGAATCTTCGAAAATATTTTATTGAAATCTGATATTTTGAAGTTGGATAGGAAATAATTGAATAGTATACAAAGTTAAACTGTAAGTAAAAATATTTATCTCTACTTAGAGTTAACAACTATAACAGATTTTAACTAATTTATTTTGTATAGTGTTAACAATAAAACCAATATCATGATGAGATTTAAAACAGGAAAGGTAATATGCTAAGCTAAGCTCTTCAAATATTTAATTACATCCTCAATATTTGAGATATAAAGAATTTACTTTTATGATTTTTAATAAAATATTATTTCAATAGTGCTTGATAAAAACGTATACCCGACGATCTTTATCAACAACCTCAAATTTGAGGGATGTTTTTATTGTCAGTGCTACTAGAACTCCAATTGGTTCTTTTGGTGGATCATTGAAGAGTCTTTCTGCTACTAAACTGGGTGCTATAGCTATACAGGTGATTACATAGTATTTTAAATGCTAGTTTTGATAATAATTCATAAAATTAACATTTGTTTCAATATAAGTTTTTAATACTTAATTTATTTTAATAGCATAAAATAGGAACTTGGAATTCTAGAACTTTTGAAACTAAAAGTAATACTTACACACATTTTAGACTAAAATTTATAAGAGACAGATACAGTTAAGAATATTAAAAAAAAACAAAAGTATATAACTACATCGGGTAATTTTCATTTTTTTCAAGAAATGAACAATTTTACCAAATCCCAAATCAAACAAATCTAAATCCACCAGGGTATAAATCTAGTTTAGCGCCCACGTGAATTTTTGAATTTTTTTTCGGTAACCTATGTATTTTAACGAGTTAAGAACGATGGTGCAAAAATTAATTGGCGGACACCATTATTTTGGAAGTTATAGCCTTCTAAAGTTTGCGATTTTACGTTTATACGCATGCACACAACGCTCTATTTTTCTAATTTGTAACTAATTTTTCAATTATTTTTTTTTTAAACCTAGGTAAATCAACGTTTTAAAAACTATGGTGCAAAAAAAAGTTGGCGAAAATCAATATTGTTCGAGTTATAGAGTTTGAAATTCAAGTTTTTTCTACAATTCATTTAAATAGGTAGTTTTTACCATCGTTTTACGAATGAAGTGTGGCGCAGTGGTCTGCAATGCACGTCAAATACTAAAAATCCAAAGCTCGATTCTGTCCTCGGTATAAATGATTTTTTGCACTTTTTATTACCTTTTTTTTGTCAGATGCAATTTGGGCAATGGGCAGGGATTTTCCATTGTCCCTGTTACCTACTTGAGGTGGTTTTGCATAGCAAGTCAAGGGATATTTTTCGATTTGCGGAGTGGAGTGACAACACCGAGCAGTATATCGACGAGTGCTGATACACCCCAAATCATTCGTTATAAACACGGAAAATAGAGCGTTGTGTGCATGCATTTACATAAACATAAAATCGCAAACTTTGGAAGGCTATAACTTTCAAAATAATGGTTTCCGAAAAAAAAAATTCAAAAATTTACGTGGGCGCTAAACTAGATTTGTTCCTCCATCAGAAATCAAGAAATTTTTTTAATCAATAATGTTTCTAAAACATACTTAAAATCATCACCTACAAATATGCTGATGTCTATAGGAAACACTATGGATATTAATTTTAGTTAATAATTAATTATGGCTGTACCATTATATACCTCATAATAACTGTTAAATCAATCCATTTATTTTTGCAACAGGCTGCTGTTGAGCGATCTGGAATTTCAAAAGATGAAATTCAGGAAGTTTTTATGGGAAATGTATGTCAAGGTGGTGTTGGACAAGCGCCAGCAAGACAAGCAACAATATTTGCTGGTGAATTAGTGAAATATTATAATTACTATGCTTAAACATTTTAACAAATTACTATAATCAATTCATAGGATTACCTAAATCAACTATATGTACAACAATAAATAAAGTCTGTGCTTCCGGAATGAAGGCTGTCATGCTGGCTTCTCAGAGTCTTATATGTGGCCATCAACAAATTGTAGTTGCCGGTGGCATGGAATCTATGTCTAATGTACCATTTTATCTAGCTAGAGGAGAAACAAAATATGGCGGTGTGAATTTATCTGTTTGTTTATTATTTATATACGTTTAAACATACTTACAAATATAATATATGTTAATATTTTTTTTTTTTCATTATACTATTAGGACGGAATTGTGTTTGATGGCTTAACTGATGTATACAATAAAGTTCACATGGGCAGTTGTGCTGAAAATACAGCTAAACAATGTGGCATAAGTAGAATACAGCAAGATGATTTTGCTTTAAGCAGTTACAAAAAAAGTGCTGAAGCTTGGAAACAAGGACACTTTGCTCAAGAAATTGTTCCTGTCAATGTTCCTCAAAAAAGAGGTATCAAATGTCTTTTTTTTTTTTTTTGTAAACTGATGATTAAAACTAATAATTAAAATATTTAAAGGTAAACCTGATATTGTTGTGTCGGAAGATGAAGAATTTAAAAGAATAGATTTTGAAAAGTTTAAAAAATTAAATACGGTTTTTCAAGTAAATATTGTTATCCTTATTTTTGTATATAATAAATATATTTTTTTTATATTTTAGAAAGAAAATGGAACTGTTACTGCTGGAAATGCATCAACGATTAATGATGGAGCTGCAGCTTTAGTTTTGACAAATGAAAATGTTGTAAAAGAATTAAATTTGAAACCTTTAGCTAGAGTAGTTGCATTTCAAGATGGTGCTACCGACCCTATTGATTTTCCGATTGCTCCAGCATTTGCAATACCCAAAGTATGTATTATTACATTTTTATAGAATACTTTAATTATTATTATGGGGAACAAAATGCCTTTGTGGACTAATTCTCCCTTGCAGCATTACTCTCTAGGCAAACAACCATCTAGAACAGGAGTGGCCAAACTTTTTTTGATTAAGTTCTACTGAGGGAATATTTTTTCTTTCAGGATCCCTAATGTAAAAAAATGATTTTTTTGTTAAAAATAAACATACTTATACAAATATAATGAAATAAAAGTGTTTAGCTTAGAAATGAGTGTTTCACATTAAATTTCCAAATAATTTTAAAATAGATTAACATTATACTGTTGATGTATAAGCGTTTCGTTGTGCCATGTACGACATAGATAAAAAGTGTTAACTCAGTAGAACTTGCACAATTTTAGTGTTATAATATAAACACCTATTACAAAATTAAAATATGACAATATTTTGGAGGGCAAGACAGTAAGTTTTTTAAAAGTTAATGGTCATTTCAAAATGTTCAAATTTTCTCTATTTCTATCTATATGTATAATGAACATTATATTGGGAATAATGGAAAAAACTCACCGTCTTGCCCTCAAAAATATTGTCACAGTTCAATTTTAAAATATACCCTGTTCAAAATAAGAAGCCACCAGATTAACGTAGCAAAACCAGTTTTGACCATAGTCGCCTAGTGGCTTCTTATTTTGAACAGGGTATAGGTATTTTTCTCTAGAACCAAAAATGAGCGAGTTCTACTCTGACCGCTTAAACTTTTTTGCAACAAATCCTTTCCCTACATAGAAAAATTATATTCCAACCATAGGCGCGCCCTTAGGGGGTGCCAAAGGGGCCATTGCCCCCCCTGGGAATTTTTAACTGCATGTTCTTTAATATCAATATCGCTATAATTAATTTTAGATAGTAAATAATTTTTATCTTGCCCCAGGTGGGATTTTATCCTGCAGACGCACTTGGTTCCAACAGTAATACCCTACATAGAAAAATTAACAGCTGGTCTAGACTCTAGAAAAAGACACTGCCATTCTGACATTCTCCCCCCCACATACACACACGCTCACACTAGACGGAAACCTATCGGCGGGTGCCTAACTATACATTTTTCCAAATATAAAGCAACATGCTAAAGTAAAAAAAAATATTATCATTATTAATTATTGGAATTTATTAATGTAATTCTAGTTGTTAAGCAAAAGTGGTATATCGAAAGATGACATTGCATTATGGGAAATAAATGAAGCTTTCAGTGTAGTGGTTTTAGCTAATATAATGAAATTAGATCTCGATCCATCTAAAATTAATGTACATGGTGGAGCTGTTAGCTTAGGTCATCCAATAGGGTAAATATGTCATTTTACTATGTACATAATTTGATAAATTGTATCAAAATAATTTTTTTTTTTAGGATGTCTGGTGCCAGGATTGTGGTGCACTTGGCTCATGCATTAAAACCAGGACAAAAGGGTGTAGCTTCTATTTGTAATGGTGGTGGTGGAGCATCATCAATTCTAATTGAACGATTATAATTTATAAGAAGTATTTTTACTTCATTCACAAATATTATTATTTATTATTTAATTATTGCAGGGTAGTTATGAGTTAAGACTACAATTACTATTCTTTTCATATATGTATTTAAATCAAATTATTATTATATTTTATCATAGTTTTACAACTATTTATTTATTGAAATCAGTTTGACTGTGACTTGGTGCGGCACAGTGGCTTAAATCAATCACGTGACATGATTGGGAGTAAGCAACGGAAGCTGCCACTATTTCTCGGATGGGTGACCACCCGGGTTCATAGTGTGCAAAAACGTTGCCACACATATATGATACAAGTGTTCCTAACTAACTATCCCAACCCTACTGTACCATCTCTACCAATCTACATGCTAATGACCTCAGTCATCAAAGCCTTTAACCTAAAAAAAAAAAATCAGTTTGAAGTTTTGAACAGTATCAGTTTAATCTTTTTCATACATTACTAAAATAGTATTTTTTTACATCTCGAATCACATTATCTATAAGCTTTAATGCCATATATTTATCTACTTGTTTAACTTTAAATTCAGTAGCTTTGAACTGGATTTTGTTTTTAAATTTAATTGGTTTAATATCAAATTTGTTCCAAAAATTGTTTAACCAATCTACATCCTCTGGGTGTTCCTACAACAAAATAGTATTAAAACAATCTGTTCATTCTATTCCTCAATTATTTTATATACCTTTGGAATGCGTAAGTATACATGGATGTGCTCTTTATTGTAAGCTAAAAATAAACAAGGTATTTCACCACAAATATGTATGACATTTTCAAAATCATAACAATTGTCATTAAGGTAGGCAACATCACAGTCTACATAACCCACAGCATAATTATCTTTGCATAATATTTTTACCGCATCACCTAATATCTGTCTAAATATAATAGATTAATACATTTCAATACAATCATAACATTAAAATTACTTACATCTTTTTTTCTTTTGTTAATTTCTGAATTTTTCTTTCAATAGCAAAGATTTTCTTATTTATTTGAATTTGAACTTTCAAAGGTATATAGTTTTGAGAAATATTTTTCAGTTCTGATTTTAATTGGTTCATATTATCCATCAATAACCTAACCTTAAGTTTAAAATGTTTGAAAATATTGATTAAAATAGTTAAATCTTATTAATATGTTTCCACTTAAAAAGTGATATCAATAAATAATATAAATTGGGTGTAGTCACTAGGATTTGTGAAAAATTATAATTTTTCTGTCCTATGATTTTCATCTTAAGGCATTTTACTGTAATGTGTGATTTACCTTTGTTGGAGAAATATTATTTAAATTAGTTGAATTCGCCAAATCTTCAACAAAATTTGATTTTCCCAATAATTGTTGACCAAAAACTCTCGCATTTGTACACAGTGGCCCAGTTACTGCCATTATGGTACATTCATTAATGTTACATTTATATTGGACTATACAAAAATCAATCACATCTAAAGTATTTTGTACATGTGTACCACAACATGCTTCTCTTGATATATATGCATCATCTACATTACTGTACATATCTATTAAATGAACTTCGTCTGGATACACTTCACCAGGAAGTAATGTAACATTAATTTGGTTTAAATCATTAGATGTCACTGTTGTTCTTTTAACAGATACTGCAGATTGTATTACACTTTTAACTTTTTCTTCTACCACCAAGGCGTCTGTACAATTAACATAAGGATAATATGTAATGATTAATGACAACAAACTATAAAATCAAATTTCTTGTTAACAATAGTTTACCTTTTGGTGAAAACGTTTGACCAAAGAGCGCAAATGTGAATGACATAAAATCTTTTTTGACACAACTTGACAATTGAGTAGTAACAACCAAATATGAGTTTAAAACAGAATTTAATATATGAACTGATGAGTGAGCTCGCATTAGACCTAGTCTATTGTTTGAATCAACTTGAACATGTAATTCCTTTTCACTGAAAATGTGTTCACAAATTTAAGATTAATTTTTGAAACGGCAATGTAAAATTAAAAAGTACCTTAATAATATGGGCCAATTTCTTGATTTAATATGATGCAACACAACACCATTTTCTTCTATTTTGTCTACGCCAATAACATCAAACACTATTCCATTGTTGGTTGTAACTATACCTATATCATTTTGTTGTCCACCAGCTTTACAATAGAAGGACGTTTTATCCAACACTAATGAAACCATATCTCCTTGCTGTTTAATATCAGGTTCAGTCACAATGTTACCATTAATATCGAAAATTGCTAGAAGCTTAGCAATAACTACAGGTGATAAATATGATTCATTATTATTGCGAATAACTTCATACTTGAAACTGTCATCAGTTTTAGGTATATTTCCTGTCATGTAATTATTTGATTTTCTTTCAGTATGTTTAATGGTTTTTGTTTGTAATTGTTTTAATTTTTCATCAAGTTCATTCCAACTCACTGGTTTTCCTAGAATATGAAAAAAATACATTAAAGTTATATTAAATCAATAATAATAAGGACAATAATAATTTACCCATAACTTCAGCTAGCCTTCCAATTGTTTTCTTTTCAAGTCCAAATGCATCATACAATGTAAATGCTGGTATATTGCTCATATTTTTGTGTTTAATTAAGTAATTGCAAGCTGGCACAAATCCAGTACATTCTTCATATGGATTAAAACTTTTTAACATTGGACATTCTTCAACTATCATTTTCCAATCTTTGGAAACAGACATTCTTAGTTTGTTAAATATAGCGTATTCGTGTTTAATTAAATGTTTGACCTAAAAGTGAATACTGATATTTAATTACTTATGATTATATAGAAAATTTAAATTTTACTTTTTATAGATTAAATAATATTATAAAACTGTAATATAACCTTTTCATTGTTTTTAATCAGCTCTGGATACACATTACCAAGACTATTTGAAACTTCATTAGCTATATCACACATCAAAGTATAGCCGGGCTGAATTTTGAAATTTGTTTCAGCCAATATAAATGACTTTCGTATAAGTCTTCTCAATTTATGACTGAAATAGAAAAAACACTTTAATTAACAATTCAAAACTTAAAATTATTAAAGAAACAACTTTTGACTGGGTAACATATTATCCGAGAGTGCTACAGTAATCATTCGCCCGTGGTCAGCTAATACTCGATAGTAAGTATCCAAACTCGTGCCATCATATAATCCTGTGTACTTTGATATTCTGCATGCCTAGTAATAATATAATATTTCAAAATTAAAAATGTTTTAGTTTTGTTAGTTGTATTAATTTCTTACATTAAATATTATGTTGAATATAGAAGAAAATAAATCTGTATCGTAAGTAGATGTTTTATCTTGCAATACCATTGTCAAGCGTTCTAATCCCATTCCAGTATCTATGAAATAATTTGGTAACTTGCGCATAGTATTTTTTTCTCTACATAAAATCTAATTCATTAACGGTTAACTTAAAATCAATTTTGAAAAAGAAAAAACTACCGAGAATATTGTATGAAAACAATGTTCCAAAGTTCAATAAGATTTTTCCCACCAGAAGGAGGATAATCGATGTGTATTTCTGTACAAGGCCCACAAGGTCCTGTTTCTCCCATTTCCCAAAAATTATCATTTGCTCCATTCATAACAATATGATCATCATTTACACTGTAACAATACATAAATATTAAATAATTTCAAGTTTATTAGTTTATAGGTAAATAAACAATATTAACCCAATATGTTTCCATATCTGAAGAGTTTCATTATCAGCTTCTACGTCAAGTGTTCTATCACCATTAAATACAGTACAATATAATTGCTCAGGGGGTATGTTAAATGGTGGCAAAGTCAATAAATTCCAAGCCAGATGACACGCTTCTGCCTATAAAGATAAAGTTTTACAGATTTGCCAAACACAATTTAAATTAATGTCAACCTTGCCATAGTGTCCAAAAGACCAGTTTCCAAGCATTTCAAAGAATGTATGATGGTAACCATCAGAACCAACTATATCCAAATCATTGTGTTTGCCACCAACCCTTATACACTTTTGACTATTGGCAACACAATTGGCAGCTAATGTTCTTTGACCGAGTAACACACTCTTAAACTAATCCGAAAAAAATTCATCAATACATTTTTCTGTATAATTATAATATGCTTACCTGACACATGCCAGCATTTACAAAGGCTATCGTAGGATCATTGTATGGTACTACTGGACTAGATTTAATGTACTTGTGATCATTCTCTTTCACAAAATAATCAATGAATCGTGCACGTATTTCATTTGAAGACAAAAATGACCTAAAACGTTTCCTGTTATCAACATTCAACGGTTTCAACTTGAACCTAATCATTTTTTTAATTCTTCTAAATATCTGTAAGAAAAACAAATACTCTGGTAATTATGCATTTTTATATTATAATCTGTGACATAATTATTTTAAATAAGTACATTTTTACATTTTATAAATAAAAACTGCAGATAGCATCACAGAATGAACACAGTTACTCTACATTTCTGTGAAAGACGCCAGACAAATATTTTAGGAACTTGTAAGTAATAACAATTTCAAAACTGAACGAGAGAACCAGATTATCAGATGTAATTATATACCTTTTCTATGAGCAGACGTGAGGTGTCTAGAGTGCCTCTTACAGCCTCACTGCCACGGGAACCTCAAGCCCTCTTATAATAGTCTAGTGCTCTCAAAGTCCGGTTCTGGTACTCTGTAGGTACCATGACAAAAGATAAATATACTTTGTCATGGGTAGCGAGTTGGGGCAAATCTTAGAGTTTATACTAGGGACCAATTCACCAATTTTTCCAAATCTGGCAATGAGCAACGAGCGTAGAAATGTAGAATGATAATATTGATAATGTTCCAGTCGCCGGGCCCGAGTAAAACTGATAAGGTTCTTCATGAAAGAGAAACTAGATGGCGCTGTTAGAGATTTGTTTGAGATTTTGATGTTCGTAAACCGCCAAAAATAAGTCAAAATATTTTGAAAATGTCATGGTGTATATAGAAAATGCTAATATAAACATACGGTCAAAATTTCATGTATCTACAGTAATTTGTTTTAAAGTTGCACCAAAAACCCAAATTGATTTTTCTTAAAAATTTCCGTTTGTTCTTAACTTTCCTTTTGTTTTTCACAGCGCTTTTGAAAACTACTACAAAATATTTACTTTCGACCCTCCTAAGTATCAACTGGATTCACTTTTCTATCAGAAAAGATACTGTTAAGAAAATCTAAGCATTTTGACTGTCCTTAAAGACCCCCCCCCTCTGAAATTGTATATAAGTATTGGATATAAATATATAATGGCTCAAAAAAGCAGAACATTTATACTTTAGACATCAGTTGAAAATATTAAATAGATGGTAAATAGATATTAAATAGATTGTATTGAATTGTAATTTGTAACTAGTAAAGTTTTAATTTGTCAGCATATATAAAAAAAAATAAAAGGTTTATATATCAATCAATTATTATGTATGAAAATTGTACTTAACTTTATTTCAACCCCCCCCCCCCCCAAAAAAAAAAAAATCTTGGCTACGTGTTTGTTCGTCACTCCGCTCAAAATCTAAAATATGCTTTTCAAATCTTCCAATTATTTATTCGGTAATTTTACATTTACTTTTTAAATATTTAAGTTCGAAATCCTTGTTCATGTTCATAGTATTCGCAAATTAGAATTTAGAATTTCGGTTCCATACCTCGAAAACATTTTCGCCAATATTCGATCATAGGCTACCGCCACCTGCAGTGCACCTCCAGTCTCCACACATTTGGTAATTTGGATTTGGGGTTATAAATTTAAGTCGAAGAATAAGGGGACCGTTCATCCGATTTCACTAAATAAAATGTAAATTTTGCTAAAATATTAGGTAGGTATGTGATGAAAAAAAAATATGTTCCGTCATATTCTATCTACAGTAAAAAATTATAGCGTGCAGTATTTATTTTTTTTTTAATTTGCATGTAAATAAACTTAATATTAGGTATTTTATAGTGGCTAAAAAGTATAGATTAAAATCTAAAAATAAAAAGCGGGTAAGCGGATGTCATTCTACTGTACAGTAGATTACAAGTGGCCAGTGGGTCACTAATGGATGGTATTAAATTAGGTGAAAAGTGTCAATACTCTACGAATAAAATGTATTGAATTACAACCAAAATAAAATCAATTTTGTTAAAAACTTGGTTTTTCGTTTTTTTCCAGTGTTTAAAATCTGATGAATATTTTTACATTTGACCTTCTTCCTTATCAAACCAGAAACTCACTCCATATCCAGTTCCTCTATAAAAATAACTCGTTCCGATTTTCTTTCCTTTTCTAACCAAGTAATAAAAAATATTTCCTTTTAGAAATTATCTTTTTTATTTGTAATATTTAACAATGATCAATGAATTAAACGTAAACCAACTAAAAAAACCTTCATATCTATCATTTATCAATGCACAGAAACAAAGAAAAACATGTTAAAATTTAAAATTTAAAGAATCTGGGATTTTTGTTCATGTTCTTGAAGAAAGAATTCATTAATTTTATTTTGTCTTTATTTATAAAAGCAGTTCCAAGCTTTTTTCCAACAAAGATAACCCATAATTTCAGGAATCCATTCCTTCTCAACAATAGCTATTTTATTTTAAGTTAAAACAATTTCAGCAAATGCCTTTATTGAGTTATTGGTACTTTATGGTGCTGCCTCTGAAAGATTCCAAGTTCACCACATCAGTCACTAGTGTCTCAAGACACAAATATTACACTTGAAAGTTAGAACATTTCATTGTAAAACCTATACATTCATCACACGGCTAGAATCTAAAATAGTAATCTAATAATGGTATAATCGTTATAGTGTAATATTTAGAATTGCATTCAAAAACTAATTTTTGGTGTTGTTTCTGTGTTTATTTGGTACAAGTTATTCTGTGCATTTCTGTAGCTTCAATGATTCATTAAGGTTTTTATGGTTTCTTGTTATTCTTTTTTCTTTTTTTTCCGCCACTGTCTAGTACAGAAACACGCCGTTGAGAAGCAGTCGATGTAAATGGATTATAAATTATAAAATGTTTAAATATTTAAAATTAATTAATTTTAATTTTAGGGAAAATAATTATATTATAAATTTATATCATAAATAACAAATAAATAATAGATAATATATTTTTTACATATAATATAGTAAACACTAAATAATATATGATATGAGCACTTTATTTTGAAATTAAACCAATAGGTCGTTTTTAGGTGATCACTGATCACACACAAGCCTTATAACTTGTACCTTTTAAATTAAGAAGTATATAAAAAAAACAATATTTGAATTTAAAAACTATTGATTTATTTTGATTATAATAATTATGTATGTGAATATAATATGTATACAAAAAATATGGCGAGCAGTATAAAATATAAACATAACATGTTAAATCAATAATTTATTCATAAAACATTTTGGTAGCATGGCAATAATTAGATCTCCCCATTTCTCAATAACAATTATTGTAAATAATTAACTAAAACAACTTTTAAAATAAATAAAACAATAAATATACATATCTAAAACAATACTATGAATGTTCAAAAATTTTGTGATATTTCAAACAATAAGTAGCAATCTGCAGTTTGGTTAATGATCAAGAATTCTAAGATTTCCAGACACTATCTTGTTCTCGAGTGTTGCATTTGAAGGGATGTCGATCCTATCTCCGTGATTTGCGATTATAATAACAGTTCCCTAAAAACAGTACATTACATTATAAATAAAATTTTATCTTACACACAATACACAATTACAGAACTTAATTCTTACTTTTAAAGAAACATTTCGACCAAATGTTACGTCACCAGAAACTGTTAAATGATCCAATTCTAGTATATCAGGAATAGTTGCAAAACGAGACAAAAAGTCCTTTACTTTGGCAAAATCTTTATCGCCAAGTTTAACTAACGGAGTTGTAGGAAACATTCTCAATGGACTCATTGACAGTGATCCATTTCTCATGTGGTACAAGTTACTCATAACCAATAAAAGATCAGAAGTTTTTTTAACTGGTAAGAAACGACTTCTAGGTACATTTATACCTATATTTTTTTCCATAAAAAAAGAAGAGTATGATAATAAATTTAAAATAATTACAAAAATATTTTTTTAATTTTACATACCAAGACCACCATTAAAAGATTTCATAGCTGCACCAACTGCGGTTTCAAGTTGAATGATATTTAAATTATTGTCCAATGTTTTGTTATTGACTATAATTTCCAAATTCATTGATCCTTCGTTTAGAACTTTCTCAATAGCATCAAGTTTGATCCATAGGTTGTTAGTATTGAAAAACTTAAATTTTTTTACTGATTTAAATTCTTCAAGATGTTCTTTAGGTACTTGTGCTATTTCCAATAGCCTCAATTTATTCTCATACTGAATTAAAGTACCACCTTTTACATCAGCTTTAGTTTTATTGGTGACTTCCATTACAAATTCAAGGGGATTAGTTCCACGGTCCAATAACATATTGAGGATATTTAGGTCAACAGTTGCACCTAAGTTGTCAATGTTTGAGATGAAACAATAATCACGACCCTGAGGAATTAATAATATTTATTAATGAAATTCTTAAAACATAAAAATGGTATTTGGTAGTATTTAGAGAATATATATTATATTTGTTTTCTCTGGCAAATGTACACACAACAAAAGGAATAAACATTCTACATAATAAATATATAGTCATAGAATAGTCTCCTCTTTAAAGGATATCAGAATAACACTTAATGTATATTTATCTATACACTAGTTGCAAAAATTACTAAAGCAGTAATATATTAATCTGGTGTTCTGTGTAGGCTATTTTAAATACTTATTAAAGAATGTAACATTTATTTAATGTTAATTTCTTGATTAGAACTAACAAAAAACAAAAAAAAAATATGATAAAAAAATACTGTGTAAGGCATAAATATCTTAATAGTATATTCTTTAATGTTTCCTTAATTTTAACCGTTTTTCTAAATAGTGAGTAATGTGAAGAACAGTTTTGCGATCAGATCTTGCATAAATATTACATTATTACACAGAGATAACAAATGCTATGCTATGTTAATAAATATTAAAAACTTACGCTATCAATAAACTTTTGCAATAATCCTGAATTTTTAAAACTATCATAAAAATCTCCGTGACCTGGAGGATACCATCTAAAATACAAAATAAGTCATTTTTGTAAAATACAAAATTAAATATTGATATTATTTATCAAACTAACGCTTCAATGTTGCCTTCAATATCACAGTCATGTGCAATTGGTAAAAGTGATTCCTTAGATACTCGAGGAA